GTATATATCGATATAATTCGCTCAAAACGGGAAATACAAAAAATGCCACATCGGTCACAGGCCAAAACTCTGGGTGCGTGGGCGACGGTAGGTGGTCATTCATACATTACGCATAGGACGATTGCAACCATTGTAAGCCTGATATGCACGTAGGTTTTAACACATACGTACAGGTTGTTGTGCAAGATGTACATCTTAGATACGAAGACACGACCTCCATCCCAGGCCAAACACTGAGTGCCGGTGTGACGTTGGGCAGTTTCGAGGCACAGTCAACGGACTCTCATTGGTCAGAGGGGTTTCTGCAGCTCAGCGCGCCTGTCAATTACAAGCTGCTGGATGTGAAAGACATCGCTTGTTACATCAATGTGGTATGGTAGCATTCTGAGCAACCCCTAAACCCTAAAAACCCTAAAACCCTAAACCCTAAGCTTGTATATAGCAGAGCATTGATACAGTAGAATTGGACCATATAATATATAATATGCAGTATGATCACTCATAACCTATTGTATAGAGTTTGTGTGTATGCGTGTAGGTGCGTGTGTATACTCAGGAATATGTGTGGAAGTATGTGTGTGCATGTCTTTATTGTTGGGTTTTGGTTGCGCACTGGTCTGGGTGGGTCTGCAGCTCAGCGCGCCTGTCAATTGCCAGCTGCTGAGTGTGAAGGACATGTGCTTGCTGTATTAATATGGTATGGATGTCAGTTGTACTATGCGTATACTTGCGCGTGTGAGTGTGCTTTCGCAGGGAGACGTGTATCTGTCTGTGCGTGTGTATCAACATACATGCGTTATAGGTGTGACAGGTGGTCTGTGCGGCGTGCGGGGCTGCTTATACGTCAACTTAGTTTGTGTACTATGCTGAGTAGGTATTGGTGTCTATGCGTGTGTGTAGCTGTATGAGTACAAATCTCTCGCGTGCTATGATTTGTGTTGGTTACTGGTGGTGTGGTCTCGTCCGGTCGCTCCTACCGCTATCCCATGTCAGGCTAACAGTAACTGCTCTATTAATATATGTTCTATTTATAGACTGGCGACGTTGTTTTTCCGGCGAACTGTCCCGATAGCGAATTCTACGGGCGGATGCAGAGCATGGTGGGCAAGGGCAAGAAACCAGTAGAAGGTGAGTCTATAGGGGTGAGAAAATAGCGCCTTATTATCTCTTGTGAAACAAGGTGAGAAAATAGAGTCTTATTATCTCGTGTGTGAAACAGAACCTTGCAGGCTGCAGAAGGTGGGCCTTAAGCGGTAAAACTCTATGGTCATCTTATCTCATGGCAGCAGGTGGTGAGTGGAAAGGGACAAGAAACTAGCGCCTTTTTATCTCACATGTGTAACAGAGGTTTGCATGCGTATGTTTCTCGGTATAAACCAGGTTTACACGCGCGCAGAAAGTGCCTGGATAAGCCCATCTTGTGGTAAGCGAAGTTACGTACTTTCCATCATGAAAAACCAGCTAAACCCTACGCTCCTACCTGGATTCCCAAACCCTATAACTCCCGAAAACTTAACCTTTTATTGGTATACACCAGGTTTAGACGGGCCCATGCAGTATCTGATCAAACCCATTTCGTGTAATGCGAAAGTCAAACTCAACCGCACACGCCCACTGGACACGTCTATGCCGAAGGTAGAGGTCAAGGTTGCCATAACAACCCTCCCGCTGATATTGAGAGGTATGTTTTTTTGACTCCGGCGTGGTGTGTTTGCACGCCCGTATTGCACGATGTTTAAATATAAATATATTGTACTTATACATACATATAGGTATGTGCATACATATTAAGTATATGAATATATAAACATATTCAACATATTCATGCAGCCGTCTATCTACCGCCTAGACACCGATAAAGCACGATGAGATGTCAATTCATGCCTTTTGTGCGTGTCGACACACACACACACACACACACACACATATATATATATATATATATATATATATATATATATATATATATATATATATATATATATATATATATATATATATATATACTATATATATATACATAC